GTGTGTCAGATGTGGCTGAGAGGGGCAGCAGGGGGTGTATAGATGGGGATGCTGGGGGGGGAGCTGCTGGGAAGGGTGTCAGATGTGGCTGAGAGGGGGAGCAGGGGGTGTATAGATGGGGATGCTGGGGGGGGAGCTGCTGGTAAGTGTGTCAGATATGGCTGAGAGGGGGAGGGGGGAGAGCTATTGGTAAGGATGCTGAGGGGGCAGGAGCTGTTGGTGAGGATCCGAAAAATGGTTAAGATGGGCAGGTTGCTTAGAGGGACTGCAGAAATTCTGTTAACCACATGCTGCGGGTGGTTTGAAAAATGCAGTGCATGAAAACAGGCAAATTTCAAGATTTTCAGTTTTCAAAAATCTTCAAAAATTCATCGTTTCAATTAATGGACGTTTATACCCACATGAATTACCTTCTGGTGGCCACTGTAGCCTGACAGACAAAATCTATTGACGCCCGAGTATTTCAGCCAGGCCTGCAGCCTTGTAAAAAGAGCCGAGATTGTGCGGTGTTATATAATGTCTTTTGTTCACGAACCTGGCTCAGTGCGCTGCTGACCTCTTTTCAATAGGGGCCAGATTAGCGTGCAGCAGTGCTGTGTAGCTCATCGCTGCATCGGTGGAGCGCTCTTGTCCCTGGTGGTAATCCGCTCGACTAAATGCCCCAAACCGTGGTATACTGTTTCAAAACAAGGCTGGATTATCTCCACTATTGAGAGTGAAGAAATGTTGGTAATGCCCAGCAGCTCAGTCTTTTGTGCCGAGCACAGTCTTTCGTTACAAAGCCCGCTCTTTTGTCCCGGTTTCGGGCTCCCCGGCTTCGTGTATAAAGCCTATGTGCTCGAAAACGGGTCACCCAGCAGGTAGTGGTTAAAGGTCTCAGACATAGTTATATTTACCTCTTTTCCTCCATTATTTTGCATTTCCCCTTGTTTCCCCTTTTAAAACTTCCTTTTTTCAACCCCCCCCACTCAATGCCCTTGCACTCGTTTAATGACTAGAGACTTGACTTCTAGTCTGCTTATCACAACTCATTGCATTAGAATTAGTGTTCAACTTCTGTGTATACAGTCGTATTTCTTGGCGTAAAAACAACAGGAGATTGGCAAATAACAGACTCATTTAGTTAATGAGGCACCTGACTTGGACCCTGTCGGCCAGTTCTGCCACTTTGGGCACCAAGTGAATTTCGCTGGCAGTGTTGTGTGACGTCACGTTCATATCGCTTTCACATTCTCTAAAAGTGTGAACTGGCCTTCATGTTTCCTATACCACCTCAAACTAAACCATGTTTTTTTGTTATTAAAAAAAATTGTGGATGGGTCATCCTGTAAATGTGTGGTTTGACATTCTCTGTCCCTGTGACACCTGACCTGTACATGTTTTTAATTGATTGACTTCAGGTTATTTTATTTGTGGTCAGGTAATTTGCCATTTGAAATTACAGAATGTGCTCTAAACATTACACAAAATCAAACACCTGATGTGACTGGACCGGGAAAAAAATGGACTTCAAATTTATAGCATGACTCATATTCATCAGTGAATAAATACAGTGCAAGACAATGTAATTCAAATTGCAATGAGTGAAATGCGGTCTCTACTGTATCCTCTGTGCTTAGCCCAAGAAGGAGCCACTGAGGGCGAACCAGTTGCACCCCCGGAAGGAGAAGGGGAGGCTCCACCTCCAGCGGAGGGGGATGAAAGCCAACAGGAAGCTGCCGATGAAGGTGGGGAGGGTGACGATGATCAGAAACCGCCTTCACCGGTAGTGGAAGAGGCCGAAGAAGCAGATTAAAGGGGAGTTGAGGTACAGCCCTATGGATTGGGGCATTTTTGAAGGGGGGAGGTTCGTTGTTTGAAGAACTGTGGGATGGTGACCGGTATCGTTGAGGGACACATCTATCTGGCCGTTGTGTTCTGAAGGAAGAGGTAGAAATTCTGGCGTGATATGTCAAAACCAGACTCTTCTGATCACTCTTGGAAATGGAAATACCACAAAACAAACAAATGTTTTCACCTCTTATGAACTTCAAATTTGTACATTTTGCTCAAGACAGTCCATTTTCGAGAATTAAATCTCTCCAAGGGGGAATATCTGAATTTATACAGCAGAATAAAAGTTTCTGACCAGCTCCCTAGAAGAACTTGGTTTTGACACATCGCAGATGTTCGTTGGGTTACTCCAGTCGTTTCTCAATGCCAGTTTGAAGGACCTGTGTCTGTAATGACGCCTTCACTGGGCTGTTCCCTTTTCTTGTTGTGTGTACATAGTTTCCTGGCACTTGCTGCCCTATTGCTCTAATTGGGGTCAGTGTTTTTTAACTGTAGAGAAAATTGGATACAAATAAAAAAGAAGTTCTCTTTAAATTCACTTTCCGAGGCATATTGTATTGTGCAAGTGTTGAACGGATTCAGAGTCAAAAATGGACAAAGTTCTGTGCTGCATTGGCAAGTTACAAATTCATGCGTAAGGCTGTAACCAGGGACAGACCCTGACAAGTTTTTTTTGGGGGGGGTAATAAATTGGTTTTTGTTGGCCGAAAATGTTGCAAATGTTTTATGTAACTTTTTTTATGGCCTTGCTTCGGGTTAACGCTACAGTTTGGTGCTTGTCACACCCTTTTATAAGATAATAGACCAAAACAATTGCCGCTCTCATAGAAACGAATTTGGTGGGGGAGGGTGTGTAGCTTTCTTTGCCCCTCCCTGGCCCAGGATCTGCCCTTGGCTGCGACCAAATCAGGTACATCTATTTTTGTGGCTATGACTATGGCTATAAGTTTTGTCACTGATGCACTGTGCTGAATAGCCACAGCCCAGTCAATGTGGCTGTGTTTATTGCACCCTATCCTCTCTGAGAATTGTCAACAAGTTTTGGTTCCAAAGTCTGAAGTTGGCGCTACTCTCTGTACAGCTCTGAATGTAAAGATGGTACACCGCCCTCTATGGTTCATTTTCAGATAACTCTACTGCAGCAGCCAAAATAGTAAAGTTGCTTCAACTGCATTTAAAATTGCATATTGTCTCTTAGTTATCAAAAGAACGGTTAATGATTTGTACGAAGGGTTTTCAGGCAAAAAAGACGTTTCGGCAAAAAAAATTTTTACGAGTAAAGGAAAAAGCTGGAGTAGCATTGAATTTTGATGTAAAATGCATCAGAAAAATGATGCACAGACAGGGTTTTCAAAAAGTTGGATAGGTTGTTTCATTCAATTGTGCTTTAATACAAAATATCTGGCCCCATTTGGTTTTCCTTTTGGGGGGAAGGTGGTTGCTGGTACATCATGAGCTTAGAGGAGGGGACCTGCTTCCAGATCAGAAATATGCCCAAACTGTGGCCAGGTGCAGGCACCCAAGTTAGAGATGATGCCCAAACTACATGTATGGCCATGTGCCCAGATCAGAGGCAAGATGCCCAAACTATGCCAAAGGTCACAACTGCATTTTTATATGAAAAGTTTGAGCAGTGACCAATCGTTGACCACTGATCAATTTTCCCTGGTGACCTGATCACAAAGTACATGTACATTCAGGGTACCAAGCAATATCCATCGGTGGATGACAACTGATTGCTCGAAACCGCCCATAGTTTGGGATAGTCCACTTGTGCTGAAGGCACAGACAACTTGCAGCACTAGAGTTTTGGGTTGTCCAACTGTTGTATTATTTAACAGATTTCCTCGTTACTGTTCAATTTCCTGTGTTTATGAGCGAGCATACAAAATTTAAGTACATGTACCTGGATTAGAGCCGTCCGTCGAAGAGAACTTCATTAATGAAATTGAAATTTCTGATTTTTAATGGATTTTTTTTTACAGTTTGAATAATCCTGATTGTTTATTTATATGTATTAATAATATTCAGTGCCTTGTTGATTTGAAAATGAATTAAAAGTTTGCGAACATGTATTCCTGGGAAATGTGACGTCTGACTGTGCTATTCTTTGTCGTCTGTGCTGTTTCAAAAACCCCTAAGTGGTAAATCTGAACAAAAGTTGTTGAAGTGTTATTGGGACATGCCCGTCATGCTTGAGGGTACCTGGGTTCACCTGGCTAAGGAGGGAATTGAATACCTACATGAAAGAAGGGCACAATTTCAGCAAAACCTTTTTTGAGTTCAAAGGAAAAAGGTGGATATGTTTTGAAGGAGTTGCAAAGGAAATAAATTGACTCTCCAAGGCCAAAATGGTGGAGTTGGGCCTTTCTTTTAATGAGGTATTGAATTGAGTGTGAAGAGAAATCCATTGAATTTTAATGGCAGAAGGCTGGAGTATGGATAAGGTAATTCTTTTCAAGGGTTTGTAATAGCAAAAAAGGGTCATGACTTTTCTCCAAAATGGTAAATGGGGAGTCAGCCTGGCGCAGTGGTTCTTTCCTCGCCTTCTACCTCTGTGGTCCCGGGTTCGATTCCCGACCTGGTCCACATGCGGATTGGGTTTTCAGTCCCCTACCTGATTCCGTTGGTTTTACCCAGAATATTTTTCCTCCCACCTCTAAAACTGTAAACTGCTTCTCATTGTCTCCTCTTAACTGATGTTGGTGAATGTGGGCCGTTTGGCGGCTGCCCGAGGCGCCCTTGTATGCCATCGGCTCAACCATGTTTAAATGTATTCATTGTTCCATGCTTAATGTCTTCATTGTACAGCGCATTTGAACATATCCATATGAAATTTGGGCTTTATAAATGAATTTATTATTATTAAATGATTATGTGAATCCTGGACACCGTTCATTTTTTAAAGTCTAGGTGTACTTGGTGCAAAGATGAAACCCACAATTCAGCCTACTTTCTCTTATCTGGCCAGAAGAGTCTGCCTTAATGTGTAATCACCAGTTGAGAGCAGACATGGAAATTGCAACAAAATACCGCCCTGGAGCCGGATGTTAAAAGTGCCTTACGCAACTACTTAATGGGCATTTCAATTTGCTTTGTGCAAATGCCCATGCGTGCCTGGTCTCTGCTGTGGATAAATCCAATCATGCTATTTAATACATGTACCAGCATTTGTTTTTTTATTTGTCACAAATGGAGCATACTTGAAATTTCTCATTTCTGTACCTTATTTTTAGAACTTGCTGACGTAAAATACAATGCCTGCCAAAAAGACAGCATCAAAATCTCGTGCAAACAAAAGCAAGGAATTAATACTGTCATAGTTAAAGGAATCAGGAAATGGAAATATTTTCATAAATTTTACTAAAAACCCTCGAAATCGCATCTTTGGGTTTCAATTAACCTGATTTTAAATTTTTGTTTTGCCATTTTGACCCACACCTTGATGCGTTTGGTTTTTATGCTAATACATATTTGCATATTCACGAGCAGAACTATGATGTCATCCACGGCACTGAATCTCAATGTTGCATGGATTTGTGCACAGAAAACTTCTAGATTTTTTTAACCACTGCTACGGCAGATTTCATTTCTTTGGCAATTTATTGCTGTGTAAGTATATGGCAATAATCCAGCAAAAATCCTCTTCACAGAAATGTTCCCAGATAGCAAATTTGGGGTTCACAATTTGAACATGAAAATATTTAACCTGAACCATGTCTTCCTGGAATCACATGTACATTAAAGCAAAAGTGCCCTCACTTGTCGAGAAATGCTTGGTAAATATGTAATGTTTCAAAAAGTGCACCGTTCAGTTCACGAAACTCAAACAAGATATCACACCGTCTTCATACATAGAAAAAGAGTACAGAGATACACAAAGAGTGATTCTAGGAAAAATTCATTTCCTGGTTCCTTTATGGTTCAAAACCAGGAAGTACCTTCAAGCAACTCTGAGGCATCTTTGAGATAACTAGAAATAGTACACCTTTGGGGTATTGTATGCGGTCCAGTAAAATCACGGCTTGTGGACGGTATTTTATTCCACATGCTGCAAGTAATGTCAGTTTCACATCAATATGCTTGCATATACATACACACGTTGGTTTTTTAAATACATGTAAACTGCACAAATCAGTGCTGTAACCATGTACGTCTTCCTGAGCTGCTCATGTATCCCGCATCCACACCAATAGTCAATAGCCCCTTGTGGTTTACAAGAACAAGTGCATGTGGTCCTTCAGGCCTCATACACAGCAACCATGTTTGGTGACTGCTTCAGCTTTCGTTCCTTCTCACTTCTGACGAAGGCAAAGTGCATGCATTCATTCACCGCACACATGCAGAGCACATTAGCAAATAATGCCATCAGCAGATTTCACATGTACAGTGGTCTCTTGTTGGGACAAACTGTTAATTCCATTCCATTCTGAAGATGGTGAGCACATGGCCCAGCTTTAATGTGCACAGCAAATTTGAGACTTTCAGACACTTGGCCATAAGCAGACATACATGTACATGTACCAGTCCCACATGTTTGGTACCCATTCACCTTGGTGGTGAGGGGCAATTGTTACGTTCTTGCCCAAGCACTCCAGCACCTTTGGGATTCAAACCCACAGACCATCGGCACATGAGTCACAAACACCAGAGGGACTGGACCGATGCACACATGCTCAAGTCAACATTTTAGCTAGGTCAGGCTATAATTACATCAGCGAGAGTAAACTGTATGAACTACCAAGACAACCATTAACGACACACAACCCCGCTCTTGCTTATTACAAAAAGGATATTTATTTCTAGGCCACAACTTCAACATCATATCTTACTAACACTTTTCCAGCGTGCGAGTAGTTCAAATTTGTCTAAATCAACAAAGACATTTATGAGAAGCAGTATCCGTCTGCTAGCTGGAAATATTAATATCCTGAAGGGACAGCACCTTTAATAAAGTAGAACAGAGTTTCCATAGCAACAGCTATTTCTTCTGATGCACTACAATAAATCAGGGAAAGACCTCACTATGACCCCACTATGTAATAGCAAAACTGTTTACCACACTATCACGTAATTGTAATATGTAATAGCAAAACTGTTTACCACACTATCACGTAATTGAATACCATGTGTTTCTTGTGCCGCCGTGGAGGGTCCTGGTGTGGTCAAAAATTTACACAATGATTTTACACTATGGCCTCGCTACCGTTTCAAGGACCCTGCACATCGTATCCCACTGATTTTTTCTGTTGTGTCTAGCAGCAAAACTTTGTAAATTTTCACGGGTTATCAGCAGAAGCACAAACTGATGTGGACGAAAAACACGGAATAAGTGTTAAACAGAACAAAATTTGTCTTTTGAAAACACTGCATGAGCAGTGAAACATTACTGCTTTGAAGAAGCATTTGATTACATAAAAACTCTGCATTTTGAGACAATGTTCTGAGGTGGATTTGGGGGAAAAACGAAATATCCACAGAAAAAAGTAATCACCAGAGGTTTTGAGGGCGCTGCAGCAGGGTGTAGGGTCTTTATGGTATACATACCGGTACATGCATGTGTTTGCCTGGAAGCAGCCCTTGGAAATACCCATTTCTGATGTTCTCTATCAACTTGTAACAATAAAAACACCTTCATGGTAAACTCGCGACGTTCATACATTTCAAAAAGGCGATCGATGGAGAAATCCTAAAATCAGGAAAAACCATGTCACATCTCACCCCTGAATGAATGTGACTGTTTGACTGAGCCAAATTGTTAAAAAGGCAATACAGTTCCACAAGTGTACTGCAGCGTACAAGGGTATTTCCCAGTACGCTGAAATCTTGCTTCCTTTGAAAGACAAGGTCAGAAGATTCAGCATGAACTAGGCACTGTTTAGTTAGAACAATTTGCCAATGAACAAGGGTTCGACTTTTAGTATTTATCACTGTAGGTACCCCCAAAAAAGGGAATGTACACCTTTGAATTCTTTCCTGATCAGTGCTGGATATATCAGTTGAGGCACTCACAGGACAAAACATCTAAATGGAATCACATTGGGGTCTCGGCACCACTTCAGAAAAAGACCTACACTACATGTATGTGCCCCTAAACAGAGTGCAATGTGATAATCTAGTTTGCACACCTGTCACACGGATCCACAATTCACAGACTTCAAACATGACTGGTTTCCGGAGATCAGCTTTTGATTGACACAACATTTGCGCCGGTTTTCATCACTTCCCCTTGGAGGAAGATTACTGTGATCGTAGAGGGCACCAGTTTTCGGCAGCTTCTCTGCTGTGGTCTCCGCAACGCTCAATTCCTGAGACACTAACATGTGGTTTCATTTACTTATCACAAGTTAGGGTCTCAGGGACTGAGAGGTGGGTATCGTGTCCAATCAGATGTCCCGATGTATGTGATTGCAACCACCTCCTCCAATCACAGCGTCTGGTCCAGATTGGCGAATGAAATTTGTTCCATGCTGACAAATGCCATCACCTGAACTACAAAAGTACCTGTCCACTGACCAATCAAGTCCTGAGATGTGGGACCCCTGTGTAGCAACCAATGGTGCCAATATCAAACAGCTCCCGAACAGCACAAAACTTAGCCCAACAGAGAAAATGTGAGCATAGCAAGAACAGGCTGGGAGAAGGCCAAAAAAGCCACTGGTTCTCAGCTCTTTTTTCAGCAATTTTGTTGCAGCCAGTATTAGGAAGAGTAGACTGGGCTCTTTGTTTTTGAGGTGTCACTCAGTTTGGAATCCTGATGGAAATGCCCATTATGTGGCTGAAAAAATTGAAAGATCCTATTGGTTTGCACTATGGACGAACCATATAAAGGCCTTTAACTCAAAAGAGGCTATAGCAACTTACGTTGGGTCACAAACATTCATGCCATCTTGACATTTGGCTGCTAAGGCCATAATGAGACCACGTCTCACTTACTTAGCCACAGCCAACAAACAGCATAGCCAATTGCTGGCAGCTGCAACCACTTTTCATAGAACCTTTATTTCCAGCCATAGTCAGTTGCTTTGCAAACAGCCTTGTATTAAGAGTCAATACACTGCTTAGCAGAGTTTTGCGCTAAGCAAACAATGAGTGGAAGACCAGTCTCAAGGATTGTACACTGCATGGCACTCTGGTTGGTAACCTGTTTTTTGCTGTTAACAGCAGTATTTGGGGCTGCACCAGTCCATCCAGTCAGATCCCTCAATAACCACACTACTGGTAAAAGTACCTAGGAGTTGTCCAATCAGATCCTATGATGTTCATGTTTGTGACTATCCAAGCCGCGTCTTGTCAGGTCCATCGATGCCTGTGCAAACCTTTTGGAAAGTTAGTGGGTTGTATAGATATCGCCTTAAGGTGTATTTCTTATCTTTACAACCGACTACCTCACGCAAAGGGAACGCCTGCTGACTAGTCTACAGAGGTCGTCCAGCCGCACCTGTCCAAGAAAGCCAGTCTACTGACAGCAACATGGACACATTCCACCCAGTTCTGTCCAAAGACAGCCCTTGTTCACATGCACATATCTAGGGCTGAAAAATACCACAGGGAACATCACTGAGGCAAACACCTGACACGGTGCACAGAATAATTGGGTAAAGTAGGCACTCATGGTAAGGAGTGTATAGCCAACATGACCCCCCACCCCAAGCAGGTAGGTTATAGAGACTGGTAATCAGGTTCTCCTGTACATCTAAATGATAACTCTACAGCATCAACATCCATTTGTCCTAGGGCTGCAAGTTTCCAATACGTTTTTCCATCGATTAATCGTTTGCTTTTCAATTTTGATTTTGAACGATCAAAAGCATTTTTTTTTTTCTGACCCTGATTTTCACCTACAGATTATCGACACCAAACAAACCCAGAGGAAATGTGGGGTGGGAAGGCGAGGAGCCTTTTACAACGCGTCATCAGCCTGTCCACAAATTAAGCCTGTCTTTGTGTTCATCGCACTTGAATCTTCTCAAGTTTCCTGTGTCAACATTTTGCACGGGTAAAACTCATTTTATTTCAAAGGGTCCGGGACAGTCTATCATTCGTCCATCGTGTTCCTTTGAGGCAACAAACTAACTGAGAATCTAAAGAAGGGTGCCTGAGAACAAACCTGATGACGTTTCAGTTCAGTGAATACGGCAGATTCTGAGAAAAACAATACTCTAGGATTTTGATTTCAGATCAAAAGGGGCCAGAGTCATATTTTGAACTGCATCTGAATTCAGCGTCTGAAGCCGTTCTCCCGTTCAGCCAAATGCAGTTAAGCGATGTCACACCCTGATCTGACGAACTGCAGTAACCGGGCACGTGTGTGTGTGTGTGTGGTACGTGTATCACACTTGCTTCTAATGGCAATATTCCAAAAATCGTTCTTCAGATGCTTCGCTTAAATGGCCTTCTTTCATTGGCTTCTTCAAAATTGACAGCTTTCCGCAGAGCATAATTTCACAGGGAGTTTAATCCCATTACCATCTTTAAACCAAGAACGCTTTTCAACAATAATTTTGTCAGTTACTTTTGACCACACTACTTCTATTTCTGTTTACGTGGGCGTGCCCATTGATCTCAATGCCTACATGTACACCCACTCACATCAATGGACGCACCCATTCATATCAATGGGCACCCTATTCCTCTCAGAGGACACACCCACTGATCTCATTCAACAAACCCCTTCATCTTGATGGGAACTCCAATCATGGCTCAGGTGGGCCGTGCCCTCAGGAGACAATCCACCTGCACATAGCCCCGGGGTTAGTCTCTTCTCTGGCAGTTTCCCCTCCTTCTTGTTTCTGCAATGGCCGAGTGGACTTGTGCTGGTACCATCTAGTTTCCCAAATGCACCTGGAAGACAGGTTAAGATGATCAGAATGTTTACTACCACGTGCCGAGGAAAAACACTTGAAAGTTATCAGATGGATCTAGTAAACTTTTGCACAAAAGCTGTTGACTACTCTGAGCCATATGCAGAACTGGTATGCAGATCACATGTACCCACCCGTACCCACACACACACCCACATGTACCCACATGTACAAAGACCCAAATGTACCCACATGTAAAATTGGGAGTGAAGGGGAATCCCAGCTGTTTTGGTAATTCTCGAAACAGCCGACTCATACATGAGGAAGTACACAAGGCGCGACGTCCACTGCTGGCCGGTTTCTCTACAGGCCAGCCCCTTTCTGGCCGGTAGCTTTTAATCCCCCTTCAACCGGCCGGGGCTACCGGCCGAACCTGCGCTTAAGGGCCCTCCTGCCTGGAGATTCTTTGTGTTTCTGCTTTCTAGTAGGAGTCAACTGCTGACGAACACCACAATGGGATTTCTTTAATTGGCTTAATCCTACCCAGTCAAACAATGGGACTTAGTGACCTGTCACGGACATGGGCCTGGCATCTATTTCCGGTGGAGTGTTATGGCTGAGTGGTCTTCCAGAAAATTTTCTTGATTTGAGCTGCTTTTTACACTGTATGTGATCAAGAAATATCTCCATAGCCATTCAACTTCAATCATTGTTATTGTAATTCTATTTAATTTATATAATTTTATGTAGGTTTAAGTGCATTCTTAATTTATTGTATTTTTGATTAATTTAGTGTATTTTTAAATATTTGTAATGCCCATTACAACATTTCTATGGTTTCTGTGCAATATAAATGCATTATTATTATTATTATCTTCAACAGATTTCGAAATTTACTTTTAAGATTAGAGCTGCTGAAATTCCAAATATTATTTCAATTCATGGTCAAAAAGAAAAACACCACACAATCTGAAATAAAACCTGTACTAAGTTATTTCTTTAAACACCACCTACCCTAAGAAATCTGAAATGACAAGAGAAATCAGCCACGTTTTGAAAATATTCAAAGTACATGCAGTGACTTCACAGATTCCTCGCGCCTTCGTTGACAGTTCTATCCTCGTACACCTGTCAGAGTTTTTGGCAGCGTTCATTTACAGCCAGTACAGTTCTACATTTGTTCTCAGTGTACCAGTCTTTGAAGTCGGGAAACTGCATTCTTGCCTGTTGGAATATTGCCTGAAGAACTGTGCGATCGATCGTTGGGATCTTGCATTTCTTGTTACTGTCACGTGAGTTCCCCGAGTGGCTTCTCGTGGAAGAATTACTCTTCCGGTTATCTTGTGTGTTTTTTATTTGTTTTGTAAAAGGGAGAGGACTACGGAAAACAAGCCCTCGTAGCAATGGTGGAGCTACAAACCCACAGGGCATGTCGAGTGCATTTGTGACCATGTACTGTGCATGAACTCCTCGCAGCGCTGCAGTTAGCGTGCAATGTAAGCGCGTGCAAGCTGGTTTCATTTTGCCATTCGCAACCCATTAAAACAAACAAATGCCGCATGTCGATTTCATTCTCGCATTTGAGACTGTGGTGAGGCGGATTTGCAAATAATGGCCGCCCGTAAGGCACGGGGGAAAAAAAAGAGTTTATAGAATCACAGTAATGTTGCCTTAACTAAAAAGGTTTTCTCATAAGATCCTTAAACTTTCATAAAATCGACGGATCAAGACCGTGAACCAGGAGAGTCATGAGTTATCATGAAACCTGTGCATGTACTTTGACCTATTCCTTCATGCTTTCATTCAAGGTCTCTGTACAACAAAGATACATGTACCACTCCAAGCAAGAAATTTAGCTTGTTAACGGAGTTGACACTAATCCGCTTAAATGCTCATTATTTATCAGTGGAGGGCCTGGGAAGTAAGCCCTCAATTCAGCAACTTTGAAATGCCGACGGGCCAGACCAGCCCGTACAGGCCGTGAAAGGCAGTAATACATGTCGAGGATTATACCGGCCACAAAAGGGGCAAGCAGTCTCGGCCTGTAGAGATACCGGCCGGCAGTGGACGCCACGCCTAACAGAGCGTTGCCAATTATATGAATATTCAGATATTCAACCGATTATCAAATATTTGATCATCTATTTTTGAAACTGAATGATTCAAAGATGAAAAACAATTAAATAAAAGGGAAAAAAAGGCAATTACAGTATTCTGTTTAAAATTGAATTCTAGAACTATATTTCAATAATTTTATCCAATGAGTAAATTACATGTGCTCAATAATGAGACAAAAAATGACTTCCCCTTCAAGACTTTTTTTAAGCTTTCTGGGAAAAAAAAAATACTTGATAGAACAAAAAATGGCAGGGTGAATATTCAGTTATTTAACTTGACTCAGCCTAGTAGATAATGCACGGTCAATCCAGTAAAGATAAAACCGTACCACGGTGCTGTTTTGTTTGAGGAAGATGCGACAGCAGAGTGTAAAGCGTGGCATCCAAGGACCAAAGTCCAAGGCAGAACACACACTCTCTCCCGTGCCAATTTCTCCCATCATCACGCTTTTCTTTTCTTCCCCGCACGCCAAGCCGTTTGGGTTTTTCCCCTGTCCTGCCTTCCAATCATTCTGCAACCAATTTTTTTCTTCCCTCCTCGGCAGGTCTGCCCAAAACTGTGAACTGAATCCCCAATGACACGCCTGCCGGCACGTAAGGCAATATGCAGCCCTGCCATCCCTCTACCTACAGGTACATGTACAGGAGCCGGTATAAAGGACATGTGACTGGAACAACAAAACTCTACATGTACCATAGACGGGGAATTAATTGACACTGCACAGATGTATAGGTACATGCAGCCCCATTTCACAAAGACCAGCCTGTGAGATGAACTGCAAGTCTGGCTGGGATACAGACACGCATGAGTAGGGACGTGTACAATCAACTAAATACTGTTGACATTTTCCACACAGATCCGGGTCACTGCTGGGTGAAGCACTTGTTAGCGACAATTCCCAACTCATGCATGTCTGTGCCAAAGCGGGTATCTCTGAGAGCATGTTGGTTATTTTTTTATTTCGGGCCAATTTGAAGATACCCGTATTATGCTACAGTGTTAGCTTAACAATTAAATGTTCCCCCGACGGTGTGAAATCAGGTTGACAGATATGTGTACAACACTACAAAGTTCTACAGATTCTTTGGCACAACCCTGCATTGCTACTGGAGTAGAGAAATGATCAACCAACTAGCCAGCTCAATGATCTTATGAACTAAAACATTGTAGGCACTGCATTGGATTTCAACAGCTCTCCTGTAGCCAATTGGCAAGACACTATAAGAGCTCCGGGCACATTGAGGCTGGTGTCACACAACTCATAGCTCCATGTACCAACGCAAACAAGGTGCCAAGCTGTTTGTTTACAAGTGTCAGTGTGTCTTCAGCACTGAGCAACACATGTCCCCACAGAGACACTGTACACACCAGTTTCAGGTCAGAGCACTTTTATCTTTATCAAAGCTCCACAACCGGCTGCCAGACCAGACAGGTACCAGTAATGACACAACCACCTGCTGGGAGCAGGTTAATTGCTAGGGGGTTACTCCTATAGCTCCCAAGATCAACAGAAAGGGCTAGACTTGCCAAGGTCAAGTGCTCAGTCAACCCAAGCAGGACAAGCAAGCTGATGGGCCCCCAATCCAAACACAAAACACACCTCGGCTGTCCTAGGACTCACACATTTTTGCAGCGGTTAAAAAAAAATTCACTTGAAGAGACAAACAAAACGTGTGAGTTCACTTCCTGAACTGTTTATTCCTATAAATGACTCGTGTCATTTTTTATCTGGCACCAAACGTTCGTGCTACCAACATTAAGTGGAAAAAGTAAAGACATTTTGTTCATTATGTTTTGAAGGAATGGAGAAAGACTGGGAGAGGGGGGGTGGGTGGGAGATCCTGAGTGAACAATTCCTGCCGGCAGATCTCCTGCTTGTAAACATCGCTTGACTGACAACAAACATGTTTACTCCAGTGACATGCGGTGCAATCCAATCCTAGCAGTATCTATCAATGTTAACGTGTCTCATTGCTTGGCACCCACCACAGCTGCCTGGCAAAGTAAATGACAATCAATTATTTTGTGAACCGAGAGACACAGGGGGGGCTTGATAAGAAGCATAGCTGAGGGTCACTGCAGGTGAGTATACATCAAAACAGTGATAATTTTGAAGTCAAATTCTCAGCAAGCCGGGCTGCTGGTGTGGTCTAAATTCCACATTACTAATCTCCCTTTCTTTTTGGGGGGTTGGAGTGGGGTGAGATGAGGGGAGGTTGTGAGGGCAGGCACATAACATCTTTAGGTTGGGCAGTTACAGAACACACTGTTGTGTAACCATGAGGGGTGCGAGAGTTACGTGAAGGTACGTGGAAATGAAACACAGCTCAAGCACCTGCACAATGTGACCTCCTTAAAAGCGCCACCTGGACTGAGCTAGGGGCAAGGTTTCAAAACCTCTTGCGGAGTGAACAGAAACATCGGCAAATTACTTCGGACACTAGCGGTCTGAAATGAGGATGAAGTCGCACATGAAGGCATCTATGATCCAATCTTAGGAAATGTCTCAAAAGGTCGGAACGTTGCCCACTGCAGGGCGTGAAATTAGGCCCCACAAGTTCTCAGACAAAACATACTAGCAGGACCAACTTTATTATGCTATTTCAAGCTTTCGATCAGACAAACACCAAGGTCACACAAGAATACTCTCGCAGCTTCGGTGCTGTCACCTAAAAAGAAAACAGAGTAGTACTCGAATCCATCGCAAGTCCCTGTAAGTCCAGCACAAGTCATTAGGTCTTAAGTCAATTCACAAGCTATGCAAATGAACTGTGACGAAAGCATTCTTTTGTCGTTGTTCACCCTGTTACTTATGACTGGCCTTCTGAAGGGACTTGTGACTGGCCTTAAGAGGGGACTTGGGATAAGCCTTGTGAGGGGACTTGTGACTGGCCTTGTGAGGGGACTTGTGACTGGCCCTGTGAGGGGACTTGGGATGGGCCTTGTGAGGGGACTTGTGACTGGCCTTGTGAGGGGNACTTGTGACTGGCCCTGTGAGGGGACTTGTGACTGGCCTTGTGAGGGGACTTGTGACTGGCCTTGTGAGGGGACTTGTGACTGGCCTTGTGAGGGGACTTGTGACTGGCCCTGTGAGGGGACTTGTGACTGGCCTTGTAACTGGCCTTGTGAGGGGACTTGGGATGGGCTCAATGACAACACAGAGTAACAATCCAGAGGTGGAGGTGACAAACAAGCAGGCTGCATGCATAAGGAATTGTGAAGACTGGAGAACCCGTGCTAGGGCTCGGCGGTGGTCAACCCAGTCAGTGAGTGAGACATTCTGCCCGTCTACATCTGCATTTACATGGGCGGACAAACACCAAAAGTGGTCGGAAAATGTCCAGTTTCTGACCATAATGCCATACTCTGCCACTGGAACATTTCTTTGAGAAATACAGTGTGCATTGATATGGATAATGTACCTACGAGTAAGCCCTTACCCAAGTGCGGGGCACTTTGTTTTGAAACTAAAGTGGACACCACGTTGTGGGGTACAAATGTGTCCCCATGACTTTTTTGGTCGCAGCAACGTCTATGTTTCAAGAAGTTTGCTGTGCCCCAGACAAAGGAATGAGTGCATGTGGCAATTGCCTGTACCTGGCCAAACATGTGGACCACCGCTCCCTTTCAGGGGTTTGGTTTGCTCGGATCACGCAGTGCTCTCATTGGAACGCCATTCAGCACTGAAAGCTTTGGTGACAGACCCTTACCAACTTTCACTGCAGCGTACCGTGAATTATTAAACCAATGAACATCCATTATTACTGCAGGTTTCCCATGTATTCACCCAAATGTAAAACGTGCTCTGCTTACATCCCTGTGCTTACCAAGTTATCTTTCTCTAAGCTCAGATGATCGGGCCATTCTCCAGCAGCGCCCTCTCTCCAGCGACGATGGCAGTCAGAAATTACACCATCCATAGATTCCTTCATAAAAAAAAAAAATCATAGCACAATTGGAAGCAAAGCTTGTGTGTATTAACTGTCTGTAGAGGTCTGTATTTCTTGCAGTCACCTATGCGTTTACAACAGGGCAAGTATTTTGCACAGTGAAGATCTGAAAGCAGTGGGTTCATTCAATTCCATGCTGGCAGTTCGAAAGCACTGAGCATATAGTGCTTGCAACATTTAACAGGGGACAAAAAGCCATTTCTGACCATTCCAGGGATGCCACTCAAGTTCTTGTCTGGGGACAGACAACAAGGCTGGAGAAGCCTCAACATGTACCGCACCTTGTTAAAGGCCTGAGATTTGCAAAACATATCAAATGAAAGCCTGAAATCAGGCTTTGGCCTGAAGACTGGCACACCCTTGCCATTCACTGTGCTTGCAGTATCTTGCATAGCTTGAAGACATACGGCACCATGCTAAATGCGTGGACTCAGAAGTTTTACTGTACCAGTGCCGTGCATGTACATGTACCGGGAGAACCCACACACTCAGACCTGGCCAAAGGTATTAAACATCAAGGGCTTAAGATACCGTGCCCTCTGGACCACTGGACCCTGCGGTCCTGAAAGGATAAAATAATCTACATTTAATTTTGGGGAACATTTAGTGAGACTTGCACATGCTTCAGTTACTCATAGAAGAACACAGTAGGAAAACTCTTCCTGTGAGAAAACTCAAACTGTTTGCATTGTACATGTATCCGTAGAGAGACAGGTGACCAAATTACAGAGGTGACTCTGTTCTGTAAATTACCAGCAAGTAAATTTGAGGACACAAAGTGAAAACTGGAAAATAAACAGCATTAACATATGGTCCCTTTTTGAAAAAATGTCCGACACTTATATTGCAACTTCTTAATCCAAACTGCAGGAGTGCATTTTTCTCAAGTTTGTTACCAGTGAGGTGAAATTCAGTACAGGTACACGTACAGTACCTCAGCTATGCCAACTTTTTCAGCTCAACCTTATCCAACCTGTTTTCTCACAGTATTGAACTTTTGAGTTTAAACTCTCAACAACCTCATCCAACTGTAATGAACTAATTTAGTCCTCACACTACTCGTAGCAAAGTCCGGCTTTCTTCAAGAAGAAAATAAAAGCGTTTCAAATGAGCAACAGTGTGTTTTCAGATTGCCTTTGGTTAATTACCACTTTTCTGGCAACGGGGCAATACCAATCACGACTCTATTCTCCAACGTGAAAAACCAGCCTCTGATGCATGGTTTTCAAATTATGGTGAAAAGCGGATTTTTCGAGAAGTTCAGAGTCGGCAACAAGATACTCAATGACAAAATAACAGGTTGATAACAATTTATGAGCGTGTTATTCCGATGGAGACAGGTGCATGCAGGATCCGTGAAAAATCACCACAATGTCAAAGTGTCAAGCATTTCAAAAATCACCCAATATGAATAGCTATTGAAAACCTTAGTCAAGAGCACACGGTATCAGTCCTGTGATATCACTGCACCAGAAATGTTTCCATATCAAGAAAACACTTTTTTCAATTGACCACCAGGAAAAGCGACCGTAGGAAAAGCTCCTCTTTCTTGAGGGAATTAAGAAAAATCCAGGAAACAACCAGCTGCGGGGGTTGCAACAATTACAAGAACACTGGTGAGTTTTCCAGGCGTTGTGTCAAAAGCGCATTATCGTACATGTATGCCCCCCAAAAAATGAGCAACTAAAACTGAATGCTTAAACCACTTAAAAAAAAACTATACTCAAATTACAGCACAAGAAAATGCAATAATCAACTGACTTACTTTAGATTTCCTTTTCACAAAAAACCTTGAACTCGTGTTAAAAAAAAAAGAAAAAAAGATTTGTTGACTGCAGCATATGGTGTGCTTGGCTACAGTACGCACGCTGCAATGAACTGGTTATATTCTAATGCTGACTAGGTCTCTGTTTAGTCAATTAGCATTTATCACTTAGAGGTGCCATAGGGGGTAACCTTCTGTTAATACATGTAGCTACTGGTCCATGTAATAGACCGATTGCAACTACTAAGTCGTGCGACCTTTAATGGTTATCAGACACCAGCAAACATGGCGTCCTCCCATAGCTAAGGGTGTCATACATGTACAGATAGGCCTACGTGTACATGTAAGTGTCGTTGACCAAGAATAAAGCGGACGGTTGGAAAAGTACTCAGACTAGTGATGTGCTGAGTAAGTATAGTGAAATTGACTTTAGTTTTTGGTAAACTACACCTCAGCGACGTTTTATGGGAGGATGCCAAGTTTGTTGTTTGATATTGACTGTACTGTAGGTCACATGACTCAGCAGGTGCAACCTGCCTATTCTTACTGCACTACTGACCATGATGGGAGCTTTTCAAAAGCTGGGTTTTTACATGGGTTGTCAAGTACATGCAGATCAGTTGCATAACTCAGATGTTTTCTGCCTTCTCTAATATCTGGCGATGTTCGCATTTACTGTGGCCACAAGGTAATCAATTTGAATATTGTTCAACACCAAAGATGTCCACTTGAAGCAAAATGTATCGGTCCCCTGTAGTTGGTTGCAGTCCAACTTGAGCAAGCTTGTGAATCTTGTCACACAAGCTCTCTGAAAAGTACTCAGTGTTGAAACCCTAACCCCCCTGGGGTGTACATGTATGTGAAATCATATTGAAATTGGAGGATTTGAGACTTTTAGGGCTATCGGCTCCGAGCGGTACAAAAGAGGGCATGTTTTTTGGTACTTTTTTGGTACCACATAGGTGCACGTTTGTAATGGAGATCGGTGGTGCGTTTGACGCGAAGCATGCTGAGTATGCGTATCAAATGTATTCCTTAATGTTCGGTCTTTGTGTACATGCAGAATACGTGCAAGAACCGGCTTGGAGAACTTACAACCATCTGTCTTTCTTTTGCCGCTTGGGGGTGCACTTCAACTTGGGGCAGATAGTACCGGTGCATGAGCGCAGGTGAATAATTGCTGATGTGAGGGCTAATTATTTTGCCCTTCAATGAATTCCAAGTACCATTTGCCGGAGTTGGGTTGTCCCCCGCCCCCCCCGCCAAACATTCAAGCTTATTCACCCAAGTTTACAGATCTACCTGTATCTGCAGTCCTCGGGAAGACACAATCTTGGGCAGACATGATGTGAGGTCCGGCCAGCCCCGGACCTGTGGATTCGAACCTGTGGCACAGACTCCAACACAAGTTCGGATCTACGGGTTTGGGCAGACCGGAAGTCTCGGTTGGTAGCCTGGATGGTCAAAGACGTGTGTGGAATGCCACGAAACCAGCCTGGTTCCATCCATCCTATCCCCTCGCCCCTCTACTGGGAGGGGGGGGCAACAACATCCCTTGACTGGGGTGAACTGGACATTCCTAAACTCACTCTGCAAGTTACATTTAGTCGAGTGAAGTTATTATTAATTCATTATTCTCAAAATTCAAAGGACAGAGGACAAAATGTACCACACCTGTGCACTGAAATCACCAGGAAAAACACAACAGAGCCTGCAGCAAATGCCAGGAAACGAAAGAGTTGAAATTCAATCACTGAGTGGAACTCTTTTGAAAGTTGAATTTGTACAAATTCATTAAATGGGCTCCTTTAGGTGTGGACCAAACTGGGGGAAGATTTGGGACAACTGAAAAATCACAGAAACAAGTTGTTCTAGTGCTTCCTCGTATTAAAAGGCCAAACAAACAAAACTTCTGCTTCTGGTTTCCCAACCAACCCTAATTTGTCGGCACGACCCTAAAATTTTCATCGGCAAGTTAGAAAAACAAATTTGGAAAAATTAACCCCCCCCAAAAAAAATTAAAATAGATCCTGGTGTCTTTTCTGTTTCAACAAAACCCCTTTCAACCTTTCCTTTTATTGAAATGCTCGGTTTTCCATGCAGCTGAAGGCTGAAAAAACTTCAATACTGCGAGAGGATTTCTGCAATTTAATTCACAGAACTTGGTTTCTTGTCTGTGTATGTATTTTTCTGTGTTCGGCAGTTTAATTGGAGGTTGTTTTGCTAGTACTTGAAGCGAGCATGTTTCAACAACATTTCCTGCCACCGCACATGGTTTATCGCCCGCCTGTCTGGATGCATCACGCATGCTTACCACACGATACATGGACATTGTTGGCCACTTTGCCGTCGTGATTACATGACTAGCACTGTGTACATGTAAATTGTCCATAATTCTTGTGAACTGTAATCAGAAGCAGAACTTGGGGGGACCTACAAGTACACTGAAGAAAGGAAATCCAGTCGGTATAGAGTATCGAAGTGTGACATCACTGTGAACCAGAAAGAGCAGTGCAAACGAAGGTACACGCACGCACGCATGTTGGTTCACACGCTGGTTCTCACGCTAATGCCTTTACACACTAACTGTGCATGTGACGAATTCACTTTGGCACTCTATACTTCAATAATTTATCATAATTTATCATTTTCCCCTTCACCGCCTCTTTATCCACCCAACTTTCCAGCCAGGAAGATTTCTATGGATTTCCAGGAAGTCTGGAAAAAGTCAGGCCTCACCCAGCAAACTGATTTATCTGTATTTCTGTTTTCATGAAACTGGTGACCTTATCATCTTATTGAGAGCTAATCAAAAACTAGATACATTATATATATGCACATAATCATACAAGCAGATGAACATCATAAGCGACAATCAATGAGCAAACAATAACACGCAAGTGTCACCGCCTGCCAGTTTTGCTACTACTCATTTTATAACCAGTCCTGGTTTTGCTCGTAGCCTAGAACTCTCTGACAACAGACATCGCGTCCTTGATGAGATGAAGCTAAGGCTGTGTGCACATGGCCCAGACAGCAAATTAACATCCTGATTTACTGATTGCTGCGTCCGCCGCTGGGCCAGATTTCAAATTGGCCAGCTTGTCTCTGCTCAGCACCATACAGGCCCACAAAACAACAACAGCCAAGCAATCAATTTTCGGGATTTGAATCCCACCTGAGGTGACGATTGAAATCACATGTGCAGACTGAGCACAAAGCAACCACAGCAAAGCTCTGTATCTGCCTGGCCAAAGAACATTATTGAACTAAAAAACTCCACCTTCATCGTTTGTTGGCTTTTGTTATCTGCAGAAAGGAGACCCGTCTCAATCCAACGTTGAGTTTAAAAAGTGAGAGAGGAACGACGGCTAGAAACGATGGGCTGAGAAGGATTCGGGGGGGGACGGGGAGGAGGGGCACAGCAGGACGACAGGTGTTGGTGGGGTCCAATTGCTTTCGCTGTCTTCTTTTTGGAATTGCAAAAGATAAAATTAGACACAGCATCATCAAGTTCTGATGTGCCGGCAAGGTCACACCAGCAGTCACATGTCAAATGCCTTTAGTTCTGCAGAGTGCACTTAAAAGTGCACCCTGTTTGGGTTTGCGGCTGTTGGGACATTTCTTGTCAGCAACTGGTTTGCCTGCGTGGTCACTTGTCCTGCCCAGGACATTTACTCTGCCCAGACAAACAGACAGGGAAAAATATGCGCCAACTGGCTATCATTTCATCCACTGTAAATCCTTTTTTCTAATTCATTGTTCTCTTCTCCCGTACTGGCAATCTCATTACAGTGGGGCGGGCAGCCTTCCCTTCATTTGAAGAAGGTCTGCTCCAGGAAGCTGATGTTTGACTGCGCCTTTGGCCCAAAATGTCCAGTCACACAGCACCTGTGCCAGTACATTCTGCTCTTACAAGAGATACCTTTAATAATGACCCATATTGCAGTCCAGCTGAAGTTGGCACCTGGCATCATTAATAGCGCTCACTATTAAATGGGTGGGATTATGCTAATTCTGACCTCCCACTTTCACCAAGCTAGAGAAACACCTGTAAATGGGGCTGGTGTAACAAACATGTACATGTAGCAATGCAGGACGCATTAGGTCATTCATCCCCAGTGAGCCATGTAATGAGTTTGGACAGAGTGTTGACACAGCAATTGACACTGAATGACCATTTGATGGATTTGGCCCTGGACAAGGGTCACTCTGGGGCTGATCAGCCACTGCAGCATTAAAGAGGCAACAACTGGTTGCATTTCTTTTGACTAAAATCCAATTATCTAATCTACACCTACCGTGCACAGTTTTCATGCCGAGCCCATTCCTGCTTAATTGTTCAAAAATCCATGCACCAGTAGATGTGGTAAATGTACATCTCAGCCTTTAATTAATGTGAGTGGCTTCATCAGCCTGGTGTACACCTCGGCAGATTTAGCCAAATTTTTACAGATTTTGTCATATTTTTGTCAGACTTTTCTGATTTTGTCATATCCCAATCAGGTCAAAGGTGATTTGCACAGCACTCAGGACGTGTGATATTCAGCCACTTGTATCTCGCACAGTGAATAAATGTTCCGTTACCGTTTAAAAAGTGGGAATGCGTGGTAGACTGACACGAAGGAATGTCGCAAGTTTCCGCATGGCCACAGAAGAAATAGTCCAATTGAAACACGGCTTTAGAGTCCCTTCAACCTTTTGGAACAGGGAAAACGGATACCTCTACTGCGGTTAAGTTTGGGGGTATCATGTAAGGGACCTGCTTGTTGAAAAATTGCCTCAGTCTTCACGCAACCCAAGAACTCTTCCGGATGAAATTCCATATCTGGAGAGTAAGACACCGCATGACATTTAACAATCAATTTTACTTGCGTTCATTGCAAGTACCAGCACCAGTATCCGGCTTGAAAATAACACCTTTACTTCCAAACAAATCATGTTAAGGAACTTACACAAACAGCGTTAAAATAAAGAAAAGAAATGGATGTCAAGTATAAATGGATTTGATGCACGGGAAGCAGTGGAATCTCTGTAAAAAAAAAAAAAAAATCAGCTATTGACAAAACAGGTGCTCCCCAAGAGATGACTATTCTACACATGCATGTACACATGTACATGTTACGTACTCTACATGTATCTGTACACACTAGGTCAATGCTTCATCTACAGTTTACCAGGTATGAGTCAATTGGACAGGTGAAGGTGCCAGTAGCAAACGGTGCAGGTACAGTGCCAATGAATAAGTGTTGTCTGGTTTAATACTGGTTCCTGCAATTACGGTTCAGACTGAGAGACAGGGTCTATGGTATCACTATAGATACACACAAGGATGAGGGTAATTTGCATTTATTAACTGGTCATGTTATCGTTCAGGTCCAATGAAAATGTACAGTATGAAGGCCGGGGGGGGGCAAGGCTATTCATTTTCAATGTTTTTTTTTTTTTCTTTCCATGTTCTCAGACCCTAGAAAAAAAGTATGCCTGCTTGTGTAGTGTCCTTGAGCATAAATATTGGCCCAAAATTATTCTTGCTTATCCATAAATGTACATGTGACACTGAAATTCTTGCGATTGAAATACAATCCACTTCATTTTCAAGATACTTGTTGTTATTTTGTCTCTATGTTGAAAATAATAAACAGACGGCACTCTGTATTGTGTGGGTTGTGTTCGTTCGTTATCACACACACGCACGCCCATGCCAGACATCTCTATATACATACAATCCAGTGTGTACATGCACTGCGTGATCGAATCCCGCATGGAACCGTGGATCCACTGACGGAAAGAGCCTGCTTCTTGGAAAAGGTCATGATGATTGCATCAAACCTTTCGTGGGCAGGTCTGACTTCGGCAGATGCTCCTTCGTTTCGGGACAAACTGATGACGTTTACAATGACATCTTTCCCATTCTGCATTTCAGCCCAGTCCAAATTCACTAGCCACGCGGGCAGAGTGAGGTAGGATTGTTCAGGAATGCGGGGGAGGATGTTGACTGCCAATGAGACTACAGGAACACATCTGGCCTTTGGGTTACTGAATGCCCCAAACGTGGTACAGGATACTTTTTTGGGGGGGGGGTGTTTCTTCCTTCCAAAGCATCCTTAACCCTTCAAAAGAAAGAACAGGGCACCCTTGACTTTTTTTCCTGATATATCACTGCAGTGCAGTTTCTTTCCAAGAGTCGAGCCTTCGAGAGTTTTTTTAAGTTGACACTCTTTGCTGTCATTTTGACACTAATTTTGCGAAAAACGAACATGCACGTACCATCCTCACGCAGCGGCAATTTTCCTGGGACAGGTATGGTAAGGTAAAAATGTGCACTCCTCTCACTGCCATGCTCAATGCACTCGGACTGGCAAGCATGCACCGTGCACGTACGGGCACTACTTTTGTTGTTTTTGTTACAGAGGGATAAAGCACCAAAGCTCCACTCCTGTGTATCCCAATGGAACAAAAACTCTTACCGGAAATTTGGCTCCCATGCACAACTTCAGCAGGGGATGCACTGTGTAAACTCCAGGGATCCTAGGAAGTCTGCAGCCGCATCAAGTGCAAGGGGGGGCAGTTTAGATCTTGATCCCACGTCAGCCTTGACTTGTGGAGTCCTTCGATCAATGCCAAAATGAGTGTAACCAGCCTTATTTGGAGTTCTGGCCAAGATTGCATTGGAGTTCACAAACACAAACGAGTAGGCTGCAATTTAACATCAAGGTATCAACTCCTTTGCGAGGACAATGCATTTAGGGCTTTCCCAAGTGCCCTGTATAAGCTGCAAAACTACATGTACACGCACTAGTATATGTACATGTAAGCTGTTCAGTTACTGAAACATGCAAGATCCGTGAATGGTTTAGGCCACTTGTGCTCTCTCTTATACCTCAAAATAAACTCCCGAGTATTGCTGTCGACGCCAGCTTGCTTCCGCAGATTCACACTGAAATTTCAGCCAAGTACATGTACATGTACTTTGTCCACTTACCGGTAACTCAACCAAGATCTTTTCCTCACGTTTGTCAACAAGCCACTTGCGAGTTAAATTTGAATAAAATCTGGTACACTGTGTGATCTGATTGCACAGAAACGTAACAATTTGAATTCCCCAGACTAAAAACACTGTTGCTATACCTCGTGATGGGGCAAGCTTTTGCAGAGCGACTGCCATCTCTGGAATGGACTGGTTCCTTTGTGCCGTTCTAATCCATTGAAAACAGTGTATTGTTGCAAGGCGTCTCTTATGTAACTGAGCAAAAGCTTGCCCCGAATCACGAGGTATAGCAACAGTGGTTTTAATATGGAGAATTCTAATTGTTATGTTCACGTGAATTTAAAGAACTCAGTGTACCAGATTTTATTCAAATTTAACTCGCAAAAGGCTTATTCAAAACACACTAATTTCAAAATTAAAAAATAAAAATGATGGTAGCTTAAATAACAGCAAGGCCGATGTATTTCCCTAATACTGCACTAGCTCCTTGCCCACATGAACTTGCTTTTCCCCATACCGGTACATTACAATTGTGCACAAACTCCACAGAGGCCTACCTGCTAGGAAGCATAAAACATCCGTCACTACGGATGCAGTGCACCAATGCCACAACCGTTGCACCTGAACTTTCAAGGAGCATCAAGCCCCCATGTGAAGTAAAAGTGGATGGGCTCCGCCTTCCTCCATCCTGCCAAATGCCTCTGAAAACCTCAGAGGGGACTTGAACGGTCTGGGTGTGACACAAGAACGGAACTCATTAAGATTGGGCACCAACAATGCTAGAATCAAGTAGAATTGACACCCATCACAAGATGAGGAACCCCTGAACTTTTTTTCCCTTTCAGAAGACTCTCGCAAGTAGCCAATTTAAATTCTTGAACCCTAACAGTACCAGGCGTTGTTTGGCTTAGAGTACTCAGTACTACAAAATACTACGTAACACTCTGAGCCTGAAGGATCTAGCGCTACAAATTACTATTTCTGGCTAGGTTTATTCCATTTTTACTCGTACAGAGAACAATGAAACCATGCATTCATAGTGCCACAGCACTGTATGGTACATTGTCTTATGGTACATTGTCTTATCTATTGTGTTTTATGGCTTCAGAGAATAATAATGTCATGTCCTCTTACAAGCAACAGGGCTGAGTGCTACATTTTACTACTAAGTAGTACTTTGTAGCATTCAGGACTGTTAGGGTTAAGGGATTTATTCCAGACATTTTAAAACAGACGAGCAAAAGAAACAACTGCCTTACAGAGGCAAATTCAAGGCCCTGAGAACCACATGCTCTTTAGTGCATGCCATTGGTACAAAATTAAAATACTCACACGTCTGTGCAGCCACGAGATTGCAGTCTAAAGCAGACAGGTTTCTGTAAATTGCTCGACATACCTGAAAGAAAGAAGAAATGAAATAAACTGATGGTTAAACTAAGTAAAAGATGAGAGCAATTCCATCGGTTTTCCTCTCCCACTTTTTTTTTTTTTTCTGCAAGAGCCAAGGTTGAAATTCGAAAATGGAATTGGAATCACTTGGGACACACGTACATGTACATCTACCGTACATATAGGTGATCCCAACACGCCGAGCATGAAATTACCGCACAAATTAAAAACTATCAGTTGTTGGGGCGGCCAGATGTTACCTGCAATATGGACACGTTGAAAAATATCAACCAACTGGAAAATGCAATCCATTCTCAATAACCCACCAGTCGATTTAACCATTTTTCACTTCAATAGGATTTCCCTGTTCGTCAGAGATAATCACATATTCCTTTTTTGCCGTCAGATACTAATCGGGGAAAACAAATGTCAACCGAAATAAAAAAGACGAATGTACCGTGAAAAAAATCACGATCAGAAATTAAAAACAACAAAGCCATTAGGAGCTGCTTTTTACAGCTTGCTTAAAAAAAGGGCAACGCGATTAAACAAATCGTTTTGATTTGCTTTTAATCCTCCCGACACCTGTAACATTACAGTGGTTATTTGCTAGATGCTGTTGGAATTTCAGTGGCTGAAATCACTCTCCCTCTGCACCAACCTGCTCTCTTTGCCTCAGTAAGCAGATGCTAATTCCTAATGAACCTCCCATATTAAGCACTAAGCAGACATCAGCTGAGAACCAGTTCCAAAGGAAAACGTGCTGTGCGACACTGGGCTGGTAACCAGCTTTTGCTGAGGACAGACTTTGTTTTTTTGTGGTTGGCTAATTTTTGTGTTCTTTGCAACTCCTAAGAGATTTGTCTCCATGTTGTTCTTCTTCAATTGGGCTTCATCATATCTGTAATTTACCAATGGTCCTTTTAGTTATGACTCAGCAGATGCAAACATACATGCACAGGGGTCCTGAAGGGTCAAAGATAAACCAAACAATTTGAACTTGTCAACAGCTGCCGCGACTCAAAAAGAATTTTGCACACAAATATCGATGCGTGTAAGTACCTATCCACAGTGTTTTCCAATCGCAGTATCAAAGCGAGGGTTGGGGGCCGGAGATCCATAACGCTAAACACAGAAAAACAGCACCGGGGATGCAACAGCGAGTCTTAAGGAGAACAGCCGGCAAATAAAACTGGGAGGGCTCTGAGGCTGTCTGTTGTGCAGGTCATGTGATCCATCGGAGGTCGACATTTGCATATCAGCCAGACAGTGCAACTGTACGGCAGACACGCATACATGAACATGAACCACTATACATGAAGGATTACATTGTTGAAGCCAGGTGCTCCCCACCGGCATTTACGTATACCGGGGTGTGTATCCCAACCATTGCTTGGCACTTGGGGAGGGGGGGGAACGGGAGAAATAAGGACACTTTCTCAAGTCTCCCTCACGTGTTCTTCCCCACAACCCTTTCTTTTTCAGTCGGGGCGACACAGCTTGCAGATTGCCCGAACAGACTCAAGTTCAAAACAGGGCTCAAATTTTCGGGGCCCTCCCCGGACAACCAGCGTGAGAATCCTGGCCGGTTTTGTGGAGTTTCCACAACACAGCAATTGTTTGCTTTACAGCCAAGACAGCTTCAGAGCCAAAACTGACCATCAAACAATAATGTCGGTGGCCGACTACTTGTTCAATGGAATCAGTCCATCCGTACCTTTAGTAAGTATCTGCCGAGCAGAGTCACCTGTTTGTATGCAGCAGGGACAATACGATCAGAGAACCCCCTTTTCTTCCAATTGGTGAGGACAGGACTTTCTTAACTGCAGGGTTCCCACAGGAATCTGAACACCAAATTCCAGGACTTGTCCAGGCCTAAAAATATGACAATTTCCATGACATTTAATGCCGATTTGCAGAGAAAAGTTGCTCAGTTTTGACTGGATAGCAGACCACCAATGCCGCTATAAGCTGACAAGAAAACAGCCTCGAAATGTATCATTATTCCATTATGACATCAAAAACTGCCCATCAGAAGTAAGCCTTACATGATCTTGATTTCCGGGGCTTTTCCATGACTTTTCCCTATGACAACAAGATTCCATTTCCCCCAATTTCCAGGACTTTCCCATGACTTTCCAAAGCAACCGTTTTCAGGGATTTTCCTTGACCGCGGGACCCATGTAAGCGAGGGACACACACATACATTAGCCGAGTCTCGAAGCTTTCCCGGCATGATGGGGAACAGTGAAGCTTCAAAAACTGAAACTGAAGATCAAAGCAAGAAATACAAGCAGAGATACGGAGACATGCAAGGGGCTACAAGAACAGCCAAGTCTGTCAGGGACATCCTTTTGAAACAAGCAGAATATCCAAAATGTTGTCTTGAAACAGACAATTTCATCAAGGTGCCAAAATCCCAAACCAGAGTGTCCGTTCACGGGATACCCTGACATTAGCTTCCTGTGCAATATAAATACTGACCATTCAACAAGAGGTCTAAACAAATTCCAGACAGAAACTGTCCACCCCCTGTACACCCCCTCCCACCAAGACAGGGGCAATCCTCCACAAAAGTGACTGCAAGATTCACTCTGAAGAAATCTGGCCGAGCGTTTACACATGTGGATCGAAAACACACACACCATATTCTGCTTTGCTCATCTTTTGCTCAAAAAGGCAATTTTCTACTTCAATTGAAAGTATGCGTGCATCGCTTTTGGATTTCTTAGCAGTCTTGGCAAATACAAGTGCCCCCCCTTAAAAATGTTCGTACAGGTACAGTAGTCATGAATGCAGTGACACTAACAGACAGTATCCAGTTTCAACAGTCCCTGGAAAGAGACACCGACAAACAGGAATCCCTACCACATGACATTTGCCCTAAACTTTGTCCCCACTCCATCACATCAGGTACTGAACTCGCCTATGGTCTAGCAACTAAAATGCACATGGAACTCCTGTTTTAAAATCTCTGGAAACCAGTCCAAACTGATCTGCTAGAACACACAGAAGGCATGTTCGCCGATCTATTAATGTCAGTCAGTGACAGCTGCATTGGAATTTGGAAAAAAGGAAGACATCGCTGTTCCATATTCCTTCTAAAACCAAATGGATTGCTTCCGTGTTACTGTTGATTATCAAGCGAGGACCAAAAACAAAAAGATATTTCATACTCCAAGCAAATTGTTTCACGCTTTACGAGACAAAACATGCCTCGCTACCCAGTCACAGATCGGCGGGCTTTACAGATCGAGAAATGTCTAGAACTTCAGACGATGTATGTGCTTTCGTCGGACACAAGAGGGAGCTGTTACAACAGCCGCTGTCTTCCAACAAACATGTGCGAAGATAATCCGAAAATCTAATGGGTCATGCCAAACACGTAAGTGCCGTTGATGTCCAAGGGCTGGGCAAAGAAAAAATCCAGACAGTGGCACATTCCGTCATGCGCAAAAGAACAGCCCCGCCGCCACGCTGCATAAAATTAGCCGCCATCTTGAAATGTCTGGCTTTTTGCCTGCTGGTGCCAACAAAAAAACACTGAACGAACCCCTTGCCAAACAAATATAATGAGTCCACTGACACATCAATCAGTTAACTGCACACAGAGAAAAGAGCTGTTGCATTCCGCTCTGCTTTGAAACAAGGAAATGAAACCATGCCACACACCAACAACATGGAATGGTAACAAATAATTTACGCCAAAAAAAACCAAAAAACAAAAAACAGGGAGTGGCTGTGCAGATTCACAAAAGTTAACGGAACCTTTTGGGTTGGCACTGGCACGAATCCCCCCCCGAAAATATCCCTTTTTGTGGCCGAGTAGAGATTGCAGGTTGGCTCACTTCCCAGGCAGATTCAAATGGGGAGGATCGGAAAGCACAATAGGCTTGCCAGGGCTGAGGGAGACTGACTGAACCTGCTGTGTATGCTGTGCAAAGCACAAACACACAACAGTCACACAGTCGGTCCTGGCAAGCCATGCAGAGCACGTACAGGCACGTACACACAGGATTGAAGTTCACCGGCTATGGTAGTTTAATATGCACATGAACGTGCAGTCTGGGCCAGACAGTAGTTAACAAAAGAATATCACTGCCAGCTAATACACACACGGACTGTGTCACAACCTTTAGAATGTGGGAATTGGTAATGTCGCCCATCAAGTGCACGGCGTGGTTATTAAAGTAAGAACTGGCGTGGTGCGTTTTTTTTCCTCTTTCGGCAGTTTAACCTGTTTCCTGACCAAAGTGAAGGAATGAAAGAAACAAAGGGCAGCAAATTCAGACAAAATCTTCTCTAAAAAGGTAACTGGTTGGATGGGGTGTGGAAAGAATGAAGCATGTACCGTGAGCTATCTAATGCCAGCGACACAATGAAAGAGCAATTCATTACAAGCTAGCAGGAGGCAAGCTGAACCAGACGGCAGAAGAAAATGAAGGACCCTTTTCGAGTGCTGCCTGTAGAAAGACGACGCCGGAATCAGCAATGGCAGAAACATCGACAGAAAGACAGAGTTATGGTAGGGACGGAGGGTGAGAAACAAGGTGCTACAACCTTGCAGAATACCCTGAAAAGAACCTGTCCCAAATGAGCGAAGGGGGGGGGCCAAAAGATATCATTACATATTGATAGACTTGACTCTTGCAGAAAGTGAAAGATCACCGACAGGCAAATTCAGAACAAAAATGGAGAAAATACAGATTCAATGGGACGCTCCGTAACTACACAGATAAAGAAACCCCAACTACCATACCGACTACCAAGTCATAATATGGACTGTAAAATGATGACACAAGGAATGATGACATGCCAACAACTGACGGGAAAGAAAGCCAGTTACACGTATGAGCACATGCCGAACACACACACAAAATGCTAGATAAAAATCAAGAGACAACTGTTATTCCTTATTGTTGATAGGAATGCATAAATTTTCCATTGTGGGTTGTTCATTTTAAGAGCAGTGACTCTGCCAAAAAAAAAAAAAAAAAAGAAGAAATCATTCAGTCAACAGAAACAGCGGGCAGAAGGGCCCATCAAAACGTGCTGATAATCTGACCAGTCAGAAAGGGCAAGTAATGGAAGCGATCTCAGTCGTAACCAGGTTTCTGGTCCTTTCAGGCAATCTAAGGTGTGCAGTGAGCAAAACTTGAGAAACCCTGAAGCGGCCATTGAAGATATGAAACATTAACACATGTGGTGAATGTAGTTTTTCAAAAATTGACGACAACAGCTTCAAATCGTAATGTTCAGCCACTCATGCGGCAGAGAGTAACCAAGAAACTGGACAATGCCAATAATTCCCAGCAAAGTAGAGACTATGGATATTGTTTACACTAATAATAACACATCAGTACACTATACGGCAAATATTCACGAACAAAATCGCTCACTGTCAAGAAAGGTCGGGAAGTGTAACAGACGGCATGCCATAAAATCAAACAAGTCGAACAAAATACCAACACAAGGTGAAACTTATCTTCAAATTCCATTTCTATCAAGACCAACTGGGTTTCAAACGTTTGAAAGACAAGGGAAATGTTCTTTGCGTTTCATCATCGTGCACATTCACAAGCGCGACTGAAACACTAACAAGAGAAAGCAGAGGAAGGAACATTACACTTACACTCCACCGACTGCTTGGAAAGCTTTCCAAACTTCAACACGACAACTTCTGCAATATCTGGCCCATCCTCAGGACTCCTGTACGAGGTCAAACCAGTCCGAAGAAAGCCGGACAAGTTCCTTGTCAGAGGAAAACAGGGGATCACTTCACTAGATCAGGCGATGCTGTGCGAAAAGAGAGAAACTTGGAGGTGGTCCATGCAGGGGACTGTGATCACAGCAAGGGCTGGGCAGAAAGGGCGCAATCTGTCTCACTGTGCGTCATCCAATATGGCCGCCAAGTCACTTGATTTCTGTTCCCGCGCACAGCGCATGACGCATGCCACGACAGTGAGCACATAGGCAAGAATACAAAGGGGCACAACCCCTGCTCATAATGTTGCACTCTGTACGTGCCTGTCAATCCAGCCCTACCAGACCGTTACATTTGGGCCGCGCTGTTTGCTTCCTTGCAAAAAGTTCACCACAAGGCTTTGTGCCAGTTACATCAGTACAAGGCTGAAAGCAACGAAAGGATCACATTTGATCAGTTCTAACATACCAATCATAAACTCCGCAGTCCGCCCTTTTGTCGGCCTTCAGCAGCTCCCACATTCCGACAGCAACTACTTGACAAGCCACCAATTTTTTTTCTCCTCAACAAATGTAATGTCTGGTGAGTCCACCCACAAGTGAACCTGAACACCCCTACATTAAATGTTCTGTGGTCCGATCATTCATGTTTGCTGGCCATGTGCTGGGAGAACATACCACCTACATCCAAGGAAAACTGTGCGAATGCCGGGCGCGAAAAACGCAGGATTCGAGAAATCCAAGATGGCGGCCACAAGTCAGTCTCGTGGTGCTACGGTACGAAATGTGTGCTTTGACTCTGCTCGCTCCCTTAGTGCAACTGACTGACCTTCCATGGTGAACTACGCACATATACAAATCCAGCTGCAGTCAAGACCAATAGACTCTCTCCTCCCTTCTCTGCCAACGAGTGGAACGCGCCACTCTAATAAGGGTCGCCAGGTCAAATCTTGTCTGACATCAGGAGCGTTGCAATCAGAATGGGGACATACCCACTGCAACAATGAAAAGGCAAACTTTCAGGCTATCTCCCTCCGCATGTGATCCAGCCAGCACACTACACGACAACAAATGCCACCATTAGATCCAACGGAGACATACATTATTTCCCATGATACACCAACACCTGCACTGGGCCTCATGACCTCTGACCTCCCTTTACACTCGCTCAATAACTTTGTATCCCCACCCACAATAAAACTGATCTCCCCCCTCAGTCATGAACTTGTGGTACAATCCTCCCAGACAGATCTACACGAACATGGTGTGCAGGTGCACACCGGGCCAACCGACTATACCGAGGTAAGAGCATGATCCGGAACACATAGAAAAGCCGGACAAAACTTTGGACGTGATGGGGGGGGGGAAATATGATCTATTTATAGCCCCTACTTCAGTCATTCACTTGGCTTATTTGAACACACACTACACACAAATTCATTTAAAGGGGGAAAAATGTTGTCTTCTTTGTGCAGTCCTGCTGTAGTTGGCTGGGTATGGGTGACTGTCTTTCACACAGGAGTTCCATGATGAAGCAGGCCTGTATTTTAAAGGTGCACAATGCTGAAAGGTCTGGTACCCCTGGCACTTGTCAATGCCGCGTACGGAGGAACTACCCTGCAGGTCAGTATGAGATATCTTTGGACCTGTGCATGTCTTACCACTTTGTCTTTTTTCCTTAATCTTGCGGGGGAGGAGTCCATACACTAGGGCAAACATCTTGATTATCAGGCCACTATTTGCCAGCTGAATGTTATCACTACCATTACCACCGTCACTACCGTAGAACTCATGGACCAATCTGGCATTTGGCAGCAGCTCAGCAGAAAGGCACATGTCCCTTTAGAACCATCCATGCGCACCCATCTTGCAGAATACACTGAGATGATGTATCTAGCACAAGCCCAACTCTTTGACCAGAAGTCACCGCCAGGCTTGGACTCGGGAGACAAGTACTCAAATCTGAGCACTTTGGGGGGTGTACTCAGGGGCCGAGTCTGAGAACATCACTGCAGCGTCAATTCAAAGTGGTGATGTACCGGTACATGTAACTTCCTCCAAGAGAGGTGGGAACACTCAAGACCTATGCACTCAGGTGACCCTCTTCCCCACTCAGAAACTAAGCGCGGGGGGGGGAAGAAAGTCTGGTAATACCGTAGTCCACCTTGGTCAGTGTTCTACAAGTAACTTTCGCGCAATGAGAACAAGACAACTCAGATTCTCACTTGCCTCCCTCCAGAAGACATAGGGCCTCAAGTCGCCAAGTGCCCTCCACCCTAAAATATACCTGTCTGGTCCAAAATACCAACTCCGAGAACCTTTAGGCACGAGTTCTTGGCTGCGACTGTTTGCTAACATTTTTTAACACTAATTTTAAGTCGTGCAAAACGGGGGTTTACGGACGTAAATCATACGTGTGAATGGATGAACAAATAAAATTTCAAAAAGATAACGTCTAACTCAGAACAAGATATTTTTGTGCAAAGTGTTGAGTCTAATTCTGTTAAGGGCTAATACATGAAAACTTGCCTCTACATGTAGTTTGCTGGTCCAGGACTGACCGCATTCTTCCACAAATCTACAAGTTTGACTAACTCAGTAATCTATAAATATCTGGCCGAGATCCAACACCAGGATCTTTAGTGATTCTCCATTTTGTAGGAACATACACATAAACATGTGGTTTATTTCTCTTGAATTTGTGGTACATATAACCGCCATTCTTCCTGTTTCCTGCATTTATGGCCTACAATATAAACTCCAACAAAACTGACAAGATATTTTTAGATCTCACCTGTAACAACTTTCATTTAACAACTAATGGATTAATTCTAAAATTTCTGACATGGACAGACACCGCTTTGAGAAATGACAGAAAACATTCAGATGCCACGCATGCTGAGAAATTACAGTTTGCAATGCGGCCCCAGAGAAAATTTTGATGAAAAAGGCATCTCTTCAAGAAAAATCCTCTTCTCCTGCAGACGAGGTAACAGTACAAGCAATGGTCCAAGTAACAGCCGAATAATGACGTGGGGACACTGATTTCCAGCCAGGCTGTTCTCTTACACAGCAACTTCGTTTGCTGTGCTTGTTGCGTACATGCACATGTACATCTACCCAATACTTGCTGGAATGTGTAGTTACACAGGGGAGTGATTAGATTGTAAAGTTCTCTTTTTGCTGCTGAGGTGTGGAAAACCAATTGCTTTCCCAGTTGCACTGAATGTACGGTATATTGATAAATGTTCAGAATGAGACAATGAGGTCCCATCTATAGTTCATGTATGTCTGGCAAGAAGGGACGGATGGATGTTCAGATGATAGGACCTGTACTGTAGTGATCATGCTCAGGTCACATGATATCAACCTGGTACTTTGTCAAAAGCCAAGGTGCTCCACTTTCACAATGTGTATTTATCACTGGTAAGGAAATGTACATGTACCAGTACACTGACTCAAATCAAGTCAGTAAAAGATCATTTGTTAGAGATGTTTAGTATCCAAGTTGTAATGTTGGGTTTTTCATCAGTGTATTTTTTTCGTTTCAGTTTTCGTTTAACCCTAACAGTCCCAAATCCTCTGATTTCAATACGATTTTTACATGCACCCTCAGGGGTTATTTTTTTAGAACATTCGTACACTGTATTTTTAATACTGTATTTTAGTAATGTTGTGAGAACTGGGGGTCCACAGGAGATCAGTGAGCTTTCTCACAGAATGGAAGACCAAGGATTTCAATTGGATATGATGGATAAAATGAAGTCAAGAGGCTGGGACTGTTTTGTCCAGTGTGATGGACACACAAACTGTTGAGCGCAAGTCACAGGTCATGTCATGTAAAATGCAGGATACATACCAACGTCACGATCTTACCACGACGGAGTACAGCACTTGCTGCAGGGGTTTTAGAATTTCTTCTTGCTTCAACAAGTTGACTATATTCTGCACATGTACATGCTCAGAATTCAGTCACCCAAAATCAATATAGACTACAGGTGAACGCCCTATTTTCCAAATCCAACATTTTCCCCAGTGTTTCTGCAGCTAAACTGCGCAGATCAACTGGATCACAGATCAGTGGGATTGACATCTTTGAAAGTGAACTGGCGCATGAGGCCAGCAGCAAAGGCGGAGAGACGCTATTGGACTGGAAGATACCTCGGACTGGATCAACACCAGATGAGAAGAGGCACAGGAAACAGACCTATTGTGTCAAACTACATGTACCTGTCGATGCAAATCACACAGGTAGCAAATTATAAAGACCAAAGATGGATTTGTAAGACCAAGAAGGTACGTACATGTACGTGTATGCAAGTACCACCAAACATCTCTTTTGTGAGTGAATGGGGTTCTGAAAAGAACAGGTGGACAGTTTGGACAGCAGGAGCACTCTGTCCATCATCAGGAGAAAGGAGAGACGACGAGAGAATATCTTCCAGATGAAGGATAGAGTATACTGTCTTAAATGTCGGCCCACTGATGTTTTCAGATCCCCACTCACTCAGAAGAGAAAACCTTCATCTTATTACAATATCCACAATGCACATCTTCAAATCCCCCCCCCCCAAAGGATACATGGATACACGTACAGCACAGGGCCACTGCTTTTTCTACGATTTGAAAACAGAACAGAATTCTAATTTAACATGAAAACAGCTCTCTGGACAGTGTAACAATTAAAACTATGTCTGAGCAAGGTCAGTCCATTCCAAATGTAGGATTTCCAGCTTCCTGTGGTTTCACCTGCTGTCTGTAGCTACTTCAGTGACCTTGCATTTAAACTTCAAGTCATTGGCTGGGCACAGCTAGTCAGGGTTGGCAATTTTCGTACTTTCCCAATGTATTAAACCTCTTTGAAATTCTTTTGGAGTTTTGCACTTTTCCAAACACTGGATACTGTCCAAGGTTCTTCCAGACAGGTCACGGCATTGGGCGGTTTACATGTTTAAATTGTGAACCCTAAAAGTCTGCTCTTTGAAAACATTTCAGAGATAGATTGCTTTATGGCTTATTGCCATAAACGGTACGGTATTCAGAGGACAATAAATTGCTAAGGAATGGACAGGAATGACAACGACAAAGAGGGAAAACACTTCTGCCGGTGTTTGTGCACAAACCAATAAAACAACGACATCAGTTTTTATCTGGATCAGCATAAAAACCCTGAATTTTAAAGTTCCAAATGATAATTAAGCAAAACAAAACTTGAAATGAAGCTTAACTGAAACAAACAGGTGCGATTTCGAGGGTTGCAGTGAAAGAACTGTACACATGATCCCTTGAAAATATCACTGGTTTTGGTTTCAGTTAAGTTAAAATGACCAACATTATGACTAGAAATAAAACAAAGATACCTACACGTATATGTACTAAACGTACCCACAGGCTTGGACACTCATACGATATCATATTAAACTCAGAGGCGGTAGAATCGGGTTAGATCAAATCATGACCACTTCATGCATTACATCCAGAAACCTGCTTTAAATGGGTCATTCCATGAAGTTTGGGCACAGTTTGTGACAGCGTCCCTTGTTACATCGGTAACTTTTATTGCCCTTTATTTTCACATTACAACAGATTAAGTCGTATTATTCAGCAAATATGAAGCACGCCACTACAAGAACCTAGCAAGATTTAGAACAATGTCAATTTAAAAACCACATGCAGGGAAAAAAAGATGTTTATTTTCACTTAGGTAACAAGGGACGCCGTCACAAACTGTGCCCGAACTTCGTGGAATGACCCAAATCCAAACAAGTGGTTTGAACTGAGGAGAAACTGCGCGCCATTAACCCAGACTGTAACACACATGCACCCATACTAGTGCATGTAGTGTTAAAGTAGATCCTGAAGGGCCAACGGAAGGGTACTTGCCATAAAAAAACGGCAAATGCTGGACAAATCCACCATTTTTGCCCTTTTGAAAAAGAATGTCAACTGTTGATTTAAATCATTAATTTCAAACACTTTATTTTAATTCACAAATTCAGGAGATTTAAATCGACCAACCCTGCACTTTATCAAAGGGATAAATTGCCACCAAATTTCAAACACTGCCTCTTGATTTCTCTTCAATGTCACCACGTGTGAGAATGACAGAAACGTGGCTCTTTGAGTTCTTCACTTCAACTGTGTGCAGAACAATGTTCCCCTCATGTACAAGATGGACGAGCATATTCCTTCCCCAAGCTGTAGCTTTTCACTGATACAATTCTCTGTTTTCAATACAAAAAAGAGTACATTATTCAAGCTAAAAATGCTTCCCCCCCCAAAAAAAAAACCTTAAAAAAATAATAACGCAACTCTACATGTGGCCACTGTTTTACCGGAAACACCAAATTAATTTTGGCCTTATATACACGTTGACATACTTTTTATACATGAAACAGCTGCTTAAATGAGCATGCCCTGTGCTGGTATGGTTTCTGGTCTCCACCAACCAATATACATGTATACGAGTTACACTGTGAACGAACAACCCATCAGGGGCCACTCTGTCTGTCCTTACTGTCAGAGCTATCGACGAGACAGTGTTGAAAAGGTACGGGGCTGCAAGAGCAGTAGACTGAGCTGAAACTTTGAATTCCTTTTAAAACCTGCCAGGTGGAACCGTGCATATATAGGCCTACAATATGCATACCAGCATGTACATGCACAATGTACAAGTTCTGGCAAGTGTCTTATTTACATAAATCCTACAGATGCCACATAAATTGCACAACACAAAACACAATGCCAGAAGACCTAATCCCAAGAAAAAAAACACATGTTCTTGGAAATTTAATTCCTTTTTTCCCCTGCATACTTCTCACGTAGAAATATTTCCATGTGCAAGTATTTATGACCATCATAAATGTACTTGCCAAGAGGATGGAGTTCACAGCTTTCATCATTCTGGTTTTGCCGTTTATCGGACACATCAAACTAAACACACATAAGGCCCTATCACGGCCATTTGTGAGAGAAATCATGCCTTTTAAGTTATTATTAAGCCCCAGATGTTGATGTGGTTGTTTATCCAACAATCCCTCATCTAAATTAGCCATGTGTTAGCTATACATGTACATGTACATGGACCTTGGCATCTGTGTATTCCCCAACCCCACCCCCAAAAACCCCCAAATTCTTAAAAGTATGTGCCATCCATATTCTGAGCCACTGACACCCTGAATGATTTGGGACACCCCGGCCCCTCACCCACAGTAGGCACAAACTGACTCCAACAACCGGCATGGGTCTCTCTTCCTTGTGTGGTACCGGGGCGGCATTTTACAATTCCCCCCTTTGCTGGCCTCTCTGCCTGAGTGACCCAGACGCACTTAATCAGCTGGCCGCGACTGCACATACACATATGCTTACCCGTCGACCTTTGAGATATTTACATGTACACTTCAACGCAGACTGCTGGGTGTATCTGTGTGTATGAATTAAATGATTAACCCCCACAGCCAACAATGACCCAAAATAGAGATAAAAAATGAAAAATTCCTTCCCAGTATTTGTCTGATGTCTGACAGAAATAAAAAAAAAAAAGGTAAACCATAGAAACGATAGTTTAGATTACGAGTCACAGGTTGAGGTGCATGCATGTATTCCATTTTTCTGTTATGGACGTATGGGGAATTTCTAATGATCAATAAATAATTTATTGGGAGAATTCAAACCCGGCCTGAATTCCATGTGTTGTGTTGTCTGGGCGCTCCGGTATTAGGATTGTGTACAAAGGACGAGACTACTTTGGAGACAGGGGTGTTTGAGTCGTGGCTTCACGAGGGTGGGAGCCTTCTCCCCACATGTACTGTACATGTGCATGTGCGTACATGTAATGTAAGGACAAGAACAAAGAAAACAGACACGCATGTGTGCAGACCTACTCGGAATTCCTGTGCATGGTAAACATTGCAAGAACACATGTACAACGGGAAAAAAAAAACCAAAAAAAAAACCTGATCGAAAGCCTCAGTGAGGCAACCAGCGAGTGAAATTCCACACTGGGAAAACAAAAATTGGATTTTTCAAAACTGCAATCACTGAAAGTCTGCGCACCCGTACACATGCGGGGGTCATGCTGTCCATGGCTAATATTTACCAAACTTTGGTTATAATCTTCAGGAATCAGTCAGAGGAAAGAGTGAATTTAACACATCATAAACTGCAAGTGGGGCTTTTGGCTATAACTCAGGCTTCTGTTTGAAATTCTTAACCAGACACAACCTGGAGACATGTGTGAAGAGATTAGATGCAGGAGCCAGCAACACAGACTCTAACACAAACCTGGACAAAACAATTCACCAAGTTCAACATTTATTTTATCCTGAAAAATTGACGCTAATTCCTTCAGATGGAAAATGTTGACGAGGCCACAAGATGGGATGAAAATGGACAATCCCCATTTGGGCACAAAGCGTGTCTTAAATGCCGATTTTGTCAAAGGTGGAACACCAAAAAAAAGTGATTTACCTGATTTTTTCCATCTAAACTCTTCACGTTTTTCGTAAGGGTTCTGCCTGTAAACTTCTGCACAAAGACCTGTCATGCTACATATATATAAAAAATTTACACATAAGGAAACTGTGGGCCTATGTATTAAATCAACCTACCCGTACATTTTCTTGGATTTAAATCACGGATGTAACTTTCAGACTTGAGCTACTTGTACATGTACAAACTGGGTATTACACATTCCCTTAACCCAAGCCACACTTGCAACAATACAAACTGTATTCAACGTGTCTCCGGCTGTCACTCCAGAGAAGTATGACGACTCCGGCGGGGTCGTCCGTGGGCGTAAAGCCCAATGTGGTGGGAGCATCGTCTGCCGCAGTGTCGGCAGCAAATGAGAAGGGTGTGGGCTTGAGGATCGGCAACTGAGGCAGCCCTAGCAGCACGTTTTCGACTGCGGCCAGCTGTCTCCTCAGCCAAACGGTCATCGATGAGGGGAGCAGAACCTCTTACAGTAGATCTCCACCTTGAGCGGTCGCTCACTCCTCCCAGAAGTCAATGTTGATGGCACACGCCTTTCAGATGTCTGTTGAGACAGCCCTTGAATCTAAGCTTAGGTCCACCTCTGCTTCTTGCATCTTTGACCAGTTTACCAAAGAAGATAACCTTGGGAAGCCGCAAGTTTTCCATGCGGACTACATGGCCGCTCCGTCACAACTGGCTCTGCACGAGTAGTGCCTCAACACTGGGGATGCCTGCTCGTCTTATATATAGCCATCGTCTCATACATACATGTATACCCATAAAATCACCCACACACAAACCACAAGAATACTGCCGCTCAAATACCA